AAGTATATCCTACAGCCGCCACTGCTCTGAAATAACAACATCTATTATAGTATAAAACACTAAATACAGAATTTATGTAAATTTGTATTTTCAATGAAAAGATGTTGTATGGATACGTGCAGTGCCCAAGGTCCCCCTAAATTTTTCAAAATTAATAGAAGATGGAGAAAGAAAGAAAATTATATTTAAATTTATGAGAGTGCCATTTCTGGCCATTTAGAGTTGCTATAATCATAAATTATCTTGCCTCAGTCCCAACCATGGTTGGGCTGAGGTGTCATAGACCCTCCAACTGTGAAAGTACCTCCCTGGGCCCCCTCTAATACAAATTCTTGAATTCGCCACTCATGGGATACCTTAAGATTAACATGTCCTAATAGAAAGTTCAATACATTCCATCACTTTTACCTGTAGCTAAGTTTTAGATAAACCTAACAGTAGGTAGATACAATATAAACCTAACAGTAGGTAGATATAATTTATTCCTTCACTCCTTTCTAAGGCCCTGTCCAGGCAATAACATGTGCCATCATGCCTAAATATGTTGATGATGACATCACATCATGACTATATATGGGAACACCATGACTATATATGGGCACACCATGACTATATATGGGCATACGATGACTATATGGGCATACCAAATTTGTCAAAGGAAAGTTGATAGTTGACAAATAACGGTAATTGGTAATAACATTGATAGTTTGATAGTTAATGCCCATATATAGTCGTGGTATGCCCATATATAGTCATAATGTGCCCATATATAGTCATGATGTGATGTTCATATTTAGGCATGTGACATGTTTTTGGGATGGCAAGCCTCAATTATTATTAGTAAGTCAGATAAGATGATTGTAACTAATAATGAAGCATTTAATGAGAGTGATAAAATTTGAAAATACTTTTAATGAAAACTTGTCTATTCTGACATTACTGTGACTTACACACTCTAAAGGCCTGTTTACACTTCAACGATAACGATAAAAATGCTAAAAAGCGATTGTTCATATAGAAAACAATAGAAATAAGAGAAGTTTTTACACTAGGACGATTCTATAATGATTTATCGTGTATGCAATAACAAAATACTTTAACAAATCAGATTAGATGACATAATCATGGACAAACTATAAAATCGTTGCTACTACGACGATTTTAATGTTTTCCCATGATTACGACGTCATTTGATTTGATTTGTCAAAATATGTTGTTATCGCATAACTGATAAATCGTTATCGGATCGTTCTAGTGTAAAAACTTTTCTTATTTCTTTTATTTTCTATATGTGGCAAAGACAAGCCAAACCAGTCACTCGTCGCAAATCCTGTTTTGGAGATAATGGCCAAAACATGCTGGAATTCCAAAATTTTGGTATTCTATTTTATTGCACTAAACTAACCTTTATATATATATACATCATGCTATGCTGTTATTTTCCTCATTTTCAATGTTAAAACAACAATTTTTAACGATTTGGCGATGGTTTCTGCCTAAGAAATGCCTGAAATCGTAAACTTTGAAGGCTGATTTCTCAAATATTGTTCTTTAAACAGCTGTATGTTTAAACTCGTGTAACTTCATAACGAAGTGTCGGATTTAAATGATTCTTTTACCATTTTATAGCTCTCATTTTACTGTTAAACCATGTATTAATAACTAAACATTAATTTTTCCAACGAGTGACTGGTTTGGCTTGTCTTTGTCACATATGAACAATTGCTTTTTATCTTTTTTATCATTATCGTTGAAGTATAAACAGGCCTTAAACATGCCATAAAATTAGTCCAAGCCAAAGGTACCGAGGTGCAAGAAATGGACTCCGTCAGCTAATTATTGTATTGTATAAATTCCTAGATTTGTCCTTGGATTTCTAAAGTCTACAAATTACACATGATTCCTCTTTTCAAACTTGTCATATAAAAATAATATATGTTGAATGGAAGTATTTCAGGTGTGTCCTCTTTGTTACATAATCAAGTGCAGTAGATATGTCAGTAGTACTACAAAGAATAACCAGGTATAGTTGTATGTCATAAGGATTGTTACATAAACTATAAAAAGACTATAGCCTTTAAACTCATAACCTTTTGGCTGACATAGCCTAGAGAATGTATCCCTTGCATTGTCTGCTTAACAATTGCGTGGACAATAGGCTCTTGTAAAGAGTTTGTACAAACAATATTTTAGCTAGATTTTCTCACAGCTGAAAACTGCTGTCTGGATCTTGGGTAAGCTAATCTAAGAAGAAAATTAATTTTGGTCTTCTTTACCAGTGCACAGCAGTATTACATTATAATATATATAAATATTGGTATACGTTTGAATATAAAATTCTTTATTAGCCAAAAGTTTAATGATATAATGTAAATTATTATTATATTATATATTTTATTTTAATTTTATTTAAACCATAATTAAAGAGGTTGACCTTTGCAACTAAGCTCAGGAGGTCAGCTGATATATTCAGGGGCCCTCTTTAAAGAAATAAAATTAATTAAGTTCAATAAAAAACGATAAAGAATATATGTGAAAGGTATTAAATACAATTCAGACAGTTAAAATAAATACTCTAATGAAATAATTATACTCCTAATGTTTATATATTGAAACAACATGGAATTATTTGATAATTTAAAATAATTACCATTTGTATTTAATCAATACATTTACTGCTGTCTCTTATACACATCTAGATGTGTATAAGAGACAGGATAAGATGATTGTAACTAATAATG